TCTTTTATATCTCAAAAGAGATTGACTCAAGATACAACCTAATCCTATAGATTGTATCCTGCCTCATTAATATAACTGCCTCTAATCCTGCCTTATTAACATCATAGAGGTTAGTATTTACAACACATAGGTAATTACATCAGATCAAAACAGAGGACAGCGACACAGTACTGGGAATCATGGCCTAGCCAAGTTGACACACAGTTTTGGGAGACATAATTCAATCCATAACAAAGTCCAATTGATTAATCTTCTCTCTTATGAAACTTGTTTTTGGTTTCAAGTCTAAGAACTCTTCAGCTAGCCCAAGGTAGCAAAGATATTCTCCTGTGCTTTATTCTAAAACTTTTATAGTTTTACATTGAAGCCTGTGATCCATGTTCAGTTAATCTTTGTGCAAGATGTGAGGTTTAGGTCAAGGTTTACTTTTAGCCTACGGGTGTCCGATTGCTCCAACACCATTTGTTGAAAAGGCTACCTTTCCTCCACTGAATTGCTTTTGCACCTCTTTCAAAAATCAGTTGGGCATGTTTGTTGCTTCTATTTCTGGACTGTCTATCTTGTTCTTTTGATCCATGTGTTTATCCCTTTGCCACTGTCTTCGTTACTGTTACCTTATAGTTAATCTTAAAATCTGATAGTATGATTTCTCTGATTTTTTACTGTTTCAAGATTGTTTTAGCTATTCTCATTCCTTTGTTTTTCCATATAAATTTTAGAATCAGTTTGTCTGTATCTACAGATAATCCTGCTGAGATTTGGACTGATATTGTGTTAAATCTCTGTAGTTCTATTTGGGGAGAATTAACATTCTTCTGATTGTGAGTCTTCCAATCCATGAACACCGTATGTGTCTCCATTTACTTCTCTAATTACTTAGGTCTTTGATTTGTTTCATCAGCATACAGATCCTGTACATGTTTTGTTAGATTTATACCTAAGTATTTCTTTTTCTTTTTTTGTGCCCTGGACATTTTGAATATCATGTTATGTGAGGCTCTATGTGTTGTGTAAACCCTACGAAGACTGTTAGCATCTTTGTGGCAGCCATCCGTCGACCCAGTTAGGTCCAGGCTGCGGGCCACAGCATTATGTGAGGGAGTTATAAATGTCTGTTCGGGTTTCTAGGCGTTGACCATGATTCACTCCTCTCTCCAGTGGACACTGCCCAGTGGCCAGTCTGGGGCCTTGGGAGCATCTGCTGGTGAATCCAGTGCTTGGTTTTGGGCACTCTGACTTGGGCAGACCCTCATACCTGCAGCTCTGGGGTAAGCCTCAGAGAGCAGAGCAACTTTATGGAATCTCTCCACCATCTCCCTAGCATATTCAGAGTACCTGGGCCATCCCTTATTGGCCCTCCAGTGGCTCTGTGGCCTCTGCTGTGTGTGTCCACAGCTGGGCCTGAGTCTGGCCCAACTGGAGGAGGATGGGGAGGAAGAATTCAGTGGAAGTTTGCTCCATTAGGTGGGGAGGAGTCCCCTCCTTCAAAGTTTAGGCCACTGTGTATCCTGCTGTTGCTGTACCCTCAGTCAGTGAGGTCACGGTTTTCCTGAGAAGAAAGGAAAGCCCCCCTTCACAGTGCACAAACCAGCATTACTGCTGTGGGTTTGCTCTCTGACAGCCAGGAAAGAAAAACTTGGCAATCTACTTCCAAAATTAACCAGTGAAAAGCCTATGGATCCCAACAGAACACTGTCCGTTACAGAGCTGGAAGATGAGCCCCTTAGGTTGGAAGGCACTCAAAAAGCACAGTTACCACGACAATGGACTCAAGCATGTCAACAATTGTGAAGATGACACAGGACCAAGCAATGTTTTACTCTGTTGTACATAAGGTACCCACAAGTGAATGAATGAACAGTTTGTAGTACAGCCACACATAGCAGCTAATAACAACAGTACTCGGCATTGGTCAGATGTCTCAGTGGCCAGAAGCCCCCTGCCCCAGGAGGCAGCTCATCCCCCTGTTGTCACTGAGCCTGGTGCAAGTGGAAATGCTGCAGCACACCTGTGCAGGGCAGATTGCAATGTCTGTCCAAGTCTCAGATACCTGCACCATCTGACCAATAACTCCACCCCCGAAAGTATCTCCTACAGATGTCCTAGTGCATGTATGAACAACAGAGGTAGAAGGTTGCTTATTGCAGCATGTTTTTTTTTTTTTTTTACAGCTTTATGGAGGTTTAATCAACACACAATAAACTATACATATTTAAAGTCAGTAGCTTGATGAGTTCTGCCATATGTATACACTCAGGTAGGTCTTGGCTCAGTAGTGAGCAATGATCAGCCATAGACTGAGCACTGCCCTAGGATGGACAGGCAAATCAGAAAAGCAAGATCTGAAAGGACCAAACTCTTTCCAGTAGTTTAGCTGTATACCTGAACAAAGCTCAGGAAGATTTACAGGAATATGAAAATATCCAGTACCCAACAAACTCGAGTTCACAATGTCTGCCATACACTCAAAGATTACCAGGTACTAAAGTGTATGGTTTGATGAGTTCTGACATTTGTATACACTCATGGAACCATCGCCACCATCAGGACCGTGACCTGCCCACCACCCCCAACCATTTCCTCTTGCTTGATTGTAAACCCCCTCCCTCCTCTTTTTCCCTCCCACCCCTAGGCAACCACTGATCTGTTTCCAGTCACTGTAGACTCATTGGATTTTCTAGAGTTTTATATAAATGGAGTCACACAGTATGTGCTCTTTTTGTCTGACTTCTTTCAGCATCATTACTGGAGCCATCAGCGTGCACACGTCGATGCTTTGTTTTTTTTTATTGCTGAGTAGTATTCCGTTGTGTGGCTGTACTACAAACTGTTGGTTCATTCACTTGTGGGTGGACATTTGGCTTCTTTCCAGCTTGAGGCTGTTACAAAGAAAGCTGCTATGTATTACAAATGCAGTCCTTGTATAGAAATATACTTTCTTTCCTCTTGGGCAAATATTTCTTTTCATTTTTAAACATTCTTTTTCTGTTTTATTTCAGATAATTTCTGTTTCTTTCTCTTGAAGCTCATTAACTTTTCTTCTGCAGTGTCCAAGCAATCATTAATCCCAACGAGGGTATTTTTCATCTCAGACACTGTAGCTTTTACTGCTAGAAATTTGATGTGGTCTTTTTAAATATGTTCCATGCCTGTACTTAACTTTTGTGCACATGGAATATGTGGTAATAGCTGCTGTAATGTCCTTGTTTGCTGACTTCAGTATCTGTGCTGTTCTTGGTAGGTTTCAACTGAATGATTATTCTCCTCATTATGGATCATGTTTTCCTGTTCATTTTAGTGCCTGGTAATCTTTGAGTGGATAGCAGACATTGTGAACTTTAGCTTGTTGGGTGCTGGATGTTTTTGTATTCCTGTAAATCTTCCTGAGCTTTGTTCAGGGATGCAGTTAAGTGTCTTGGAAAGAATTTGGAAAGAACTTGGTTCTCTCAGGTCTTGCTTTTCTGATTTGCCCAGCTTTCCTGGAGCAGTACTCAGTCTATGGCTGATTATTGCCCACCATTGAGCCAAGACCTTCCCAAGTCTCTACCCAATGCCCCGTGAATGATAAGTTTTCCCATCTGACTAGTGGAAACAGGCATGGTTCTTGTCCCTGTGTGAGTGCCAGGCGCTGCTTCCTTCACTTTGTTTTTGTTGTTGTTGGGTGCCTTCAAGTTGGTTCCAACTCATAGTGACCCCATGTGACACAGTAGAACTGCCCCATAGGGGCAAAAACAAATTGCCAAGTCATTATCCCACAGAGCCACTGGGTGGGTTTGAACCTCCAACTTTAATTAGCAGCCCAGAGTTTAACTGTTTTCCACTAGGGCTCCTTTCCTTCACTCTAGGCTTTGACAATTTTTTGTTTTGTTTTTTTTTTAACTTTTTAAACCCTATGAATGTGTTACCTATTCAAAAATTTAAATTTAAAAATGAAGACAGCAATGGAAAGTTCTTTACGGTGAGCTAAAGACTACCCCATTCCTATCCCAGCCACAGTCTTGGTTTTGCACTCTGGACCCATAGCGGACAAGGGGACTTGCCACAGGCTGCCCTTGAAGTCTGCTTTTGTTCCTCTTCTTAGTTTTCTCATCTCTAGCCTCTACTCATCAGTGCTTTCCACACTCCACACTGGAAGTCTTTTCCTGTCTTCTCATTAATTTTGGAGACTTTCCTCAGGTCATTTTCTCGTTTCTCAGTGTCCTCTTAAAATGTACCGTCACACACTCCAGGATGGATGGATGAGCATGGGACACGGTTAGATTCTTGCACGTCCCACCTCCTGTTGATTTTTGTATGTGCTTGCTGCCCAGTTGTGGTCAACTACGAAAGTCTTTTCCATCGTAATACATGCCATTGGCTGGCTCTTCCATCTCGAACTTGCATCATTTTTGCAATTTTTTCATCATTGTGATTCCGTGACTCTTGGAGCTTCATGTATTTATATCTGGGCACAAAACTGCATCACCAGGCCTAATAACATTTCACTTTTCCATTCACCAGAGGGTAGGACTTCTCCAGCATAGGCTGCAGCTGATACCTTGGGCTCGGCCTTCTGTCTTCTTTATCTAGTGCTACTATAACAGAAATACCACACGTGGGTGGCTTTAACAAACAACAGAAATTTATTTTCTCATAGTTTAGGAGGCTAGAAGTCTGAATTCAGAATACCATCTTTAGGGGAAGGCTTTCTTTCTCTTTCCACTCTATGGGGAAGGTCCTTGTCTCTTTTCAGCTTCTCTTCCTTGGCTACTTGGTGATCTTCATATGGCATGGCATCTATCTTTCCCCATCTCTGCTTGCTTGCTTGCTTGCTTGTTTAATCTCTTTTGTATCTCAAAAGAGATTGATTTAAGATACACCCTACACTAACACTGTGTCATTAGCATAGCAAAGAAAACTCATTGCCAAATGAGATTATAACCACAGGTACAGAGGTTAGGATTTACAATACGTATTTTTGAGGGACACAATCGAAACCATAACACCTTCTCCCTCTGCAGATTAAAGATCGAGGAGCTGGAGGGGGAGCGGAGTCGTCTGGAGAAAGAGAAGAAGACGCTCGAGATGCAGCTGGAGAAGCTCACCCTGCAGGTAGGCACTGGCTGGGCGCCCGTGGAGGGGCTGTCTCCATCAGCTGTTCCCTGGCCTCTTGGCTCTTTCCCAGTGTGTGTCCATGGTTCCTGCACCCACAGAACAGCCTGTGTCTTGGCTCATTAGACTAAAGGGAAACCCCTCGTGCACGCACCCTTACCTGGTGGAGCACACATGTCCTGGAGTCCAGTAGAGGAGGATGCAATGCCCCTGGGCTGTCCCCTCAGGGAAGCACATCCCTGACCCTGAGCTGGCACCACTGTGGACCAGCTGCCCTGTCCCCTGTCCCCTCGGGGAAGCACATTCCTGACCCATGGACCGGCTGCCTCGCCCTGCCCCCTTCTCGCTCAAGTAATGCCCCTTCTCGTCCCCCTGCTGCTGACTAGAGAGAGTGGGGTCTCCTAGTGTCTTTGCATCACTGGGAGCTGGACACACGTGGGTAGACCTGCCACAGAGACATCTTCTCTGTTAGATTTTGGGTTTCTGTCCAAGCCCATCCCCACTGATGCCACCTGTCTACAACCGTTATGTTGGGCTACTGTTTACATTGCTCCAGTCTTACTTCCTTTTCACTTCCATCCTCGGATCTGAATGCTTCTGCGGCAGGAAACCCCTGGGTTGAAACTACCCAGACTTTAGACAGGCCATTGATTTTATCTTGACACCTATTAGAGGCAAGTCGAGTCTCTTTTTTATTACTCGTTCCTAGAGCCGGGAGAAGTGACAACTTTGATAAAGCGTGGTGCGGTGGGCCGTGTCTCTGGCTCTCGGACCTGTCATCTCGTGCTGCTGTAATTGGGCTGCTGTCCCCAGATGGGGAGGAGAGTGGGCCGTTGGCAGGTGAACCACAGGCCGCCATCACGGGCCGTGTCACAGTGCGGGTATTAATGTTTCTTGGCGTTTGTCAAGCAAGCCAAGAGACCATAGTCATAGCTCCCCATGCCTGGGATGCAGGGTGTCTCTACCAAAAGGGTTCACCCCGTTTTCTGGGCATCAAGGCTGGCAGAGTCCTGCTTATGCCTGGTGTGGTTTTGAGAAGTAGGTGGGATGAGAGTTGAGGGCTGAGCTCTGTGCCCGACCCTCGGGCCACGCCCAGCCCATGTTGGCCCCCGCAGCCACCCGTCAGTCTGAGGGGGAGTGTTCTCTGGATTTCTCACACTGGGGCTCCTGGGGGGTGGGCAGGGCCAGGTCCCTCTGTGCCCGGGTGAGTAGGCATGACAGGTGAGCTGGATGATGCTAACCATCGACCTCTGGCATGTCCTCCGCACAGAGCTCTGCCTCCCGGCACCTGGAGGTGGGGCCCCTCGAGGTGGGGCCCCTCCTTGTGCAGTGAGTGTCCCGGGGTGTTCGGGGCTCGGGGGCTATGCACTGGTTGAGCGGGCAGGCTGATTGCAGCGTCAACATTGGGGGCGCAGCCAGGTCCACATCTATCCCACACCGAGGCTGCGTCATACAGACTGAGGCTGCGTCGTACAGACAGAGGCAGTAGGGCCACCAGTGTGTGAGCGAGATCACAGTCTGAAGTGAAGGTGACAGTAGTCTGGAGTCGGACCGTAGAAATGAGGGAGGGACCGGGAAGGGAGCCAGCCAGCCATGGCTTGAGGGGCCGGCATGCAGGTTTCTGTGTCTGACAGACCCAGGCTGAGACTTCCCAGTCCCTGGCTCCATGGTCCTGGATTGTCTCGGACAGTCCTGGCGGTTGAGCCTCAGCACTTACCTTATAGAGTCGGGGTGACTGCGCCACGTGGCAAGTTGTTGGGTGGCCAAATGCCAGGACTTTTGCCCCACACCTGATGCTCAAAGATGCTCAAGAAGTGAGAAGTGCTGATCCTGTCCATCTGCTCCCATCTGCCCTTCTCTGGAGTGGGACACAGGACAGGGATAATATCGCCTGAGGGCCCAGCCACAGCTCTTTTCCCCTTCCCTCTCCCCCTCCCCATGAGCCCCCTTCCTGCGTGGAAGCCTCAGGCCCCCCGTCCCAGACCAGGAGCTGGTGGAGGCGGCCACTCTGGGCAGGAGGATGCCGGGCCCCTGTGAGCGCCTTCTGAGCTGTGTTCACGGTGGCAGGGGCTGATGAAGTGCCCCTCATGGCAGCCCCCTCCTACTCCCCGCTCTCCTGTCTTCCCCTGGAGGAGTCTTCAAGTTAGGCCGCTTCAAGGAAGATTGATTAAAATCAGCTGCAGTTGGACTTAATTGGGAACATATGCTTGGAGAGGGAGCTTGACTAGAACTTTGTGTAATTAGTTCACAGCTGGTTGGCGAGGAAACATAGCTCGTTACAGCTCGGCGCCAGGCAGGGCTTGCTGGGTGCTGGTCTCAGGGGCAGAGGCCAGGGGTGAGGAGGGGAGGGGGCAGCATGCTGGGGCTGCCCCAGTAGGATGGCTGCCCCACTGGATCTCCCTGCGGACCAACACTGTTGAAACAGGGACCCTATCTGACCTCCTCTAACTTCACAAAGGGGAAGGGGAATCAGATCAACAGCCCAAAGCTGATTCCCATGAGACAGAGATCAGACAAGCCTCCTTTTTCCGCCACCTTTACCAATTCTGATACCAGCCATCCCTCCCACAGCACTCTCTACTTCTCTACTGGGTTTGATTATTCACTGCATTGGCCACACAGAACCCACAGACCACACTCACGGTTATGGGATTTATTAGGGAAGTAACAGTTACAATTCAGGCTCAGGAACACTCAGGATACAGTTCTTCCATCAGGACAGCCTCTCTCCAGCTGTGTTCGCAGGCACGCCTCTCCCTGGCCCTAGGCCCCTGCCCAAAAGCACTCAGGTTTCTCTCCCTGGGCTGGGAAGCCCACTGCACCACCACCTGCTGCTGGGTCTCCCCCTGCTGGTCTCTCCTTTCTTGGTGGTGATGGGCTCCTCCTCTCTGCTCTGGAATTGGCTCTTTTAGGGCAAAACTGACCAATCCCCTTGGTGGGCCACAATTACCCTATCACATAGTCCCGCCCAGTCACCTGGGTGGGAGTTAGAAGACCATTTCTAGAAAGGCCACGCTCAAAAGTAGTTATTCGCACCGCATAAGAATACTTGCACACTCTTGCGGTGACCTGAGTGCATTTTTTTCATTAATTTTTTAAAAAATTTTTTGGTGGTAAAATATATATTAAAAACCTTTTGCTATTTTAACCGCTTGTACGTGTACAGTTCAGTGGCATTAATCAGATTCTCCACATTGTGAAACCATCACTATCCTTTTCTAAATGTTATTCATCACCCCAAACAGAAACCCAGCACCCCCCAAGCAACAACCCCTCCCTTTTCCTCTCCCCTTCCCCCCAGCCCCTGGTAACCACTAATAAACTTTGGTTTCTATGCATTTGCCTATTGTAGATAATTTCAGGTAAGTGGGGTCGTACAGTATTTGTCGTTTTGTGTCTGGCTTATTTCACTCAGCATCATCTTTTCAAGGTTCATCCATGTCACGGCATGGATCAGGACTTCATTCGTCTTTATGGCTGAATAATACTCCGTTGCGTGGATGGACCACATTGTGTTTAACTGTTCAGCTGTTGATGGCCACTTGAATTGTTTCCATCTTTTGGCTATTTTGAAAACTCCTGCTGTCAACGTTGGCAATCTGCTTCTGTAAAGATTACTGCCAAGAAAACCCCTATGGTGCACAGTTCTACTCTGACATACGTGGGGTCACCATGAGTTGGAGTCAACTCAATGGCAATGGGTTTGGTTTTCTTGTTTTGTTTTGTTTTATCCCCCTATCCAAAAATCCACCCCTCTCCACCCCTACCCAGTCTTTCCCATGGTTCTGATGCTCCTCTTCCAGGCAGCTCTGGGCCATGACCTGGTGGGCTTGGCCCTCCCACCCATGGCCCTTTCTCCCCCAGCCCCTTCCCAGCCTATCTCCAAAGCACAGTCTCCCTGGCCTGGGGTCTACAGACCCAAGACCATGTGATCTGTCGTCGTTTCTTTGCCTAACCCCTGTGATGTCCCGCCTCCCAGCAGATGGCTATGTGGTAGAGAGTGGCTAAGACTCCAGATGGAGAATGGAGCAGCTGTGTCACCCTGGCCTCCGTTTCCTCCCTGTGATGGGGAGCTGACCACATCTTCCCTCAGGGTACCCTAAGAGCAAGGGGACGCCATAGCCAGGGTCTGGTGCATGCCACCAAGAGCAGCAGGTGCTGCTGTTCATCTCATTACCAGTATGAGGATCCGTCACTGCCGACCTCGCATATAAGGTGCGTGGTGTTTCGCCATTCTGTTTCTGAACCGCAAATCGTGGATCGTAAAGGCCACTATGGCAGGGGATGCTCTGAAGGTGTGTGGTCTAGAGGGGCAGGTGCCAGAGAGGCCAGGGTGGGGTACCAAGTGGGCTGAGGCATGGGGCGGTGGTTGTTTCCTGAGGCAGTTGCTGAGGGATGTGTCCCAAAGTGGAGATGAGCCAGGTTTCTCGTTCCGAGGGCCTCACTGTGTCTGTGCCACCATGTGTCACCCTGTGCCACCAGCCGGGTGGTGATGGAGGAGCCAGCATCTAACCCAGTTCCATACTTTGGTACAGAGGGTTTGCAGGCATCCAGGTGCACCCCCTTGATGCTGCCCTCAGCGTGAGCCATGGCTGCTCTGTGACAGGTCCACCTGTCCGTCCATTTTAGCTTTCCAGTGTGCCTAAAGTAAACTGCAAATGCCTGTCACATCCCTAGATGCTCCGCGTAACATCATTAACTAGGTTCATCTCAGCGTTTGAATCCTGGCTTCCCTGTCCCTCGCTGTTGCCTAATCACAGTGGGGGTCGGGCTGGTGGGCCTCCCTCCACTTCTGCTTTGGAGTAAGTCTCCAGAAGGTTCCATTCCACCCTCCCCCACCGTGAGCTGTCAGGTGGGCCTTTGGTGCGATGCCCCCCTCGGGCACCAGGCAACCCCCCAGCTGGGTGGGGTTGGGGGTGCCAGTGGGTGGTGCCACCCTATATCCCCCCAGGTGGGGCTCAGGAAAGAGACACAGATGTGCAGCCTGGTGACATTTCAAA